ATATCGGAAAAATATACGTATATTTTGTTTTTTAATAATGATTTTTATTATTGAATGATTTATTATTATTTGTAAATACAATGATTTTTTGTTAATTCTGAGAAAAACATAATGCATTTTGAAATTACCATATGGGTGACGAAATCATAATATTTAATAATAAGCAAGTGAACTAGCAATTCTTTGTTTTATATGTATATTAATTTATATTACTGTCACTAAAGAATAAAGAGCGTAATATTACGATTCCTTCTATATAGTAACAATATTTGCATTCCAAGATAAAGGTTAGTATATTAAGAATAAAAAATCAAACATTGAAATTTTAATTGAATGTTACGCAATAGATTAGCGGAATTTAATAATTTTATAGCTTAATATATTCATTGCTTTAACAAAAAAAGTGTAAATTACGTTGTAAAAAATCGTTTCCTATAAGCTTGAGAATCTGTTGCGCTTAATAGTGCCTATGATAGCGGACGTAATTCAGTACCATAGTCGTAGCCATGTTGCAAATGAAAAGAACAACAATGATTAAATCAATAGTTAGATGCATACATATGATAATTGAACAAATTTATATTAAGTAGAGGACACAAGCATTGAAATGCATTATACTATATATTATGTTCAATAAAAATATCTACCTTTCCATTCAGATTCTTCTATAATAGATATATTTGTACGAAAAGTAATATATCATAAGCACTTTCGATTATTAGCAAGATTTGCAATATTTTTCGGTTAAATAATACGAGCAATGTCCCTAGTAAGATTAAAGCAATTCAGCATACAGTTTTCAGAAATTCATATAAATTTAAAATGTAACTTGCGCATCCTACACTTTTTGTACACGTATCCGTTTAATGAATCGCAAAACTTATCTGCACGAATAGATTGTTCACATAGCCTACGACAATGTTTAGCGCGTATCAAAGCTCTCGTTTACAGACCCCTTGATGCTCGCACCTAACTCTAGGTAATCAAGCACGATATCCGGTGCATCACTATTAGGAAACGAGGTATAATAATTACTGCTTTGTAGTGGGAATTGGTTGCAATAATTAGCCGCCAAGGGAATTAATAATAGTTCGTTTATTTTATACAAATGAAAGAGAACGTGCTACTAATAATGTTTTTAAATTGATTGTAAAAACGTTCTAAGAACTACAATAATAAAATTGAAAGTTCCATACAATTTATTATTAACGTTACATACTACCAATGCAATACTCACTTATATCGTTCTAAAAAAAAAGCTTCCCCAATTACAAAATATAGGTTGTATTGCTATTACAAACATTTGCACAAAAAATACGATTAATAAAACTTGAGTTTGTTGTTACATCAATCGAAAGATCGACTAAACAAAATTAACTGATTAATAATTCCACTCGGGTTGAGACTGAATTCGATAGTTTAATTCGAACCTGCTAGCAAGTGAAGCAACTTGCATCATATCTTCGTGGTGCAAAAAACACATGTTGTGCATTTTCTATTACGCAAGTAATGCGTTATCAGGAGGCATTAGAAGGTCGTCATCGTGTGCACGTTCTTTGCTACCACTGGTACTGGTCTGTCGAATTGCAGCGCGGTTACCTCGATTCCACCAGTGCAATAGGATCGGCCGGTACTTTTTCCTACATCGATATAAGCTACCAGACCGGTAACAGTCTCTCCTTCTCGCGGGGTGTAAACAGGGCCTATGACGAGCTGCAAGTAGAAGGAAGAGGGGGTGAGCGGTAGCACGGGAGAGAGTGTCGACTAAGGACTCTCAGGTAGCGATGTGTACGTCGCCTTATTAGCGATGGGAGCAACACCCTCTTGATCCGTTTTCAATAGTCCGACAAACGACGTAAGATCAATTGTGAATACCAGTGGTAACACTTTAGGAAGTGTTTAAACTTGGATGAGTCATCTGAGGATATTGTGTTATTATGCTCAGACCACTTCATAACTGATTTATATAATTCATTTAAACATATAAAATGTCAAGTACATACACAGTAATAAATTTATATCTTTTTTCTAATAGAAGAATAATATTCTGATTTTTTCATTATCGAAAGAAGTCAAATTCGATTTTTTTGGCCTATTCTTGGTAATCATATTTAGTTGTTACAAAGTGGACATTATAGATATTATAGAATTTCAACATAAATCGTTAGTAACGTAGTACTGTTAATTTTCATTTGAATTTACGAATGAATTAGATTGATTCGTCGATGAGGTCGGGAATTAGAAATTCCCAGTGGATCGAACCCATCACTAGGCGTTATGCATGTGTGTACGCGCGAAGGAACGTAGGGGACGGTGCGCGGTGAATCGAGCCTAAGGGTGGCAGAGTGGGGGCGGGGCAAAGGGAAGGGAGAACAGCGGAGGGTCAAAAAATGTGTAGGTGCGCGCGCAGCTGCTTTGTCTCTGTGTCCCTGCATGGTGGGGGGTTGGCCGGACCACGAGGGGCCACAGGGGTCCGTGAGCGAACCATGGCGGACCAAAGGCGACTGCATCCTTTCAGTCGGCCGCTGAACCCGCGCGCCGTGCGGTTGCTCGTGTGTGTATCGCACTTGACTTCGATTCGTCGCGTTACGTTCTTTTTTACTCTATACCACAGGACCACGCGTGTGAGGTTTTTCTATTCGCCGGCTGTCCGTCCGTACCTGCGAAGATAACCAGATCGAGGGAAACGACGAAGCTGCGTTCCAGAGGTGCTTTCTGACAAATCAGGACCAACGACACACGTTTACGGATTTTTTGGTGTACATCACAGCTAGATTGTTTTCGTGCGCGGGCGTAACGCCGTCGTGAAGTTCTTCTGCATGGTGAGTACCACTGAATATTCTTTTTTTTCGGCTAGGAATCGTCGCGTCTTTTATCCTCTTGTACCGATTACCGAGGTGTCGCGAACTCGTATCCTTTTCGTGAACGAACGTGCTCCATTCCTTTCGCGCTTTCTTTCATTCTGCTATGCGAGAGGATGTTTTGTATCAAGTAAAATATCCAATTCTTTCGTCGAACGTTACTAACAAGCTCAATCCAAGGAAAGGGAACGAACATTGGGTAAGGTTTTCACACGTGTATGCAAGTACAGCTTCGGGACGCGGTAAAGTGACGCAATGTAGAGGGAGAAAGATGAATGCGAGGTAGGTTAGGTTTTTGATTCTCTCGCATATACGAAGAGACGCGGATAACACTTCACGTGTTTCCGGTGTCGCGAATCCCCCTTAAAGAATGCGGTACGACGAGAATCAACGGAAGTGACGTGCTGTTTAAAGACATAGGCTGAAAAAATAATATATCGTATACCGTAGTCCTTGTTTCGTTTTCTTTACTGTTATCGTTGTAACAAATACGTGAAACGAAAACAGGTCAATTTTACGCCACAAATGTGACCAAAGGAAATAATTAAAAAGCACGAAGTCCGAAAGAACGCTAAATAGACTGTAATTGTATGTAATTTACCAAAGCAAAAGCAAAAGGGAAAAATTATACTGTAACTACACGTCGCAGGATGAAGTGCAAGCTAAACGATGTTATAAAAAGAGACACCCGCTTCAGACTAAGGAGTGTACTTAATAATAAGGGTTCGGTTTTTGTTGTTCGTACGTGTGCGTGTGCGCCTTAATGTACGCGCCACTGAAGTGAATATTGTGCATATATATTTGAGGGACGGATAATACAATTGGTGCGCCTGTGTGTGCATAACACTGCTGGTGCTTTCAGCAACATAAGAGTTCGAAATTGTGCGTAATTACACCATGTAATCGTAAGGTACTTGGTGTGGTATTCGAGGTGCGTTCTGAATGCAACGAGTATCTGCTACTGTTTCTTTGCTCGCTTACTCATGTTACTTTTTCTGCACGGGAAAAATCGTGAAAAAAGACTGTTCTTTGTGTTGTAGAATATAAAATGGAGGTACAATTTGACACTTGGGTAAAATTACGAATTAACATAATTCCTGCGATAAACATAACGCATTGAAATATTTCTACCAAGTTGCGAAAGATAATGTTTCTTTTATTTTCCGCAATTTTTCGAGAAAACTTTTCAAGACGGTAGATTTTCCCTTTTTTCTACTAAAAATTTCTACAGTTGACGAACGTGTCTACTGTAAACATTCGATTATTTCGCTCGTCCTCACTTATCTCCCGTTTCATGGAAAGAGAAAACTGTTTGCGGTGTGTTTTAAGGAAGCAATTCTCGTTAGGTGGAAAGCCTAAAACGACTATACAGTATATTCGACCGCGTTCATCTCGTATGCCGTTCCGTATACCAGCGTCTCGCTAATTTCATAGCGTAATCAAGTGGACAGAAAACGTTTCAATAAATCTGTTCGTATAAAACGAGTCCCGTGTGTGTAAGCGCGACAGACACAATTGTATACGTTGGACGTGCGAAACGAGTTTTATCGCGGTTCGGTTGTTTCCCTTTTTTTAACAGGTCCTGGCAGAGATTCGAAAGTCGAGGCGCAGCAGAGTTCAAAAAAGGAGGAAGAACTGATAAACAGACGGGAATTTTTCAACGTACCGAAACGGAAT